TAACTGACTACTCCTTTCTGTGGTTGTAGAGACTTCTCGTTTGATATTTGTACCCTGTCCAATTCCAGACTTCAAAAACAAGTCTTCAAACCTTGCTAGTAACTTTTCAGGAGCAGGCTGCTGCCTTACTGACACTAAATAATTATAAATGCAAATAAGCCTTTTGTGCTACGTCAAAGAAGTGCTCTTGCAATTAGTGAAGTATAGGCAACCAAGCAAAAAAGACTTCTGTGGTGGTTGCGTTTTCAGAGCGTTGCTGGATCTGAATACAGACTTTGCCTCCTGATGCTGTGGTAAAATTGATGCTTTAATACTTGTATTTTTGTCTTTTGACACTGTGCTAGTATGGAGGTGTATTTGTTACCTTAGATCAGGCTCACTGAGCTTTTCACAGACTGTAAGAGTTGAAAAGATGAATCTGCTTCGTGTGGCATTGATGGGAAGAAGAGGCCAGAATGCTGTCTAAGCAGCTTTTCCTTGATTGTGTTGGATGTTGCTTAATAAGCAATTTGGATTTTCCATACTTCACTTTAAGCATACAATCTGACAAGTTTTTCCAAACTTTAGGGATGCGGATGCGATAAAGCTAGGTAAAGGATATGCCTCCTTTTGGAAACCTGGTTAAGTAACTTCCCTTACAAAGAGGTTCTGGGAGGAGGATGCAGGAATGTCAGAGGTGACCTGGAAATCCTTGACTTCCAGCTGTTCTAGTTCTACACAAGGGACTAATTTTCAGTACTGCTTCTTTGCTTGCTACTATGTTGAGGTATTAACAGAAACTTACATGAAAAGGTGATAAATCTTTTTTTTAACTTGTACAGGATAAGTCACAGTCTGCAGAAATATGGGAAAAGCTAAATTTTGGAAACAAGGACCAAAATGTCAAGTTCAGAAAACTCATGGGCATTAAGGTAAAGAGTTCTGGCTGTGTAATTAAGTATATTATTAATTGTAGGATAGTGATTTCTTTTTCTATTTTAAAGTGTATATTAACAAGTAGAGATGTCAAGTTACCTTGGTGCTACCTTATGCAGTTAAGAGCTCAAGTTGTACTTCTCATTGAAGTTCACAAGCAGCTTCTAAATAGAACTCAATTAAAATTCTAGAATTTCATTATGCTTCTGGTCATCATGGCAACTGATGTGATCTGTAACAGCAGTGGTAACTGAAACAAGAATAATAATAATGTGACACAGTATTATTTTGTGTAGATACTTAATTGGAGACACATGTTTGAATGAGTTAGAAATTCTGAGGAACTGGATAAACGCCTCCATGTATTTCTTGGCAGTGAGAGGAAAGTTAAATTAGGATGTTCCAGGAATTAAAGCAAATGATGGAATTCTTGTTGGCTTTTGAAAACAACAGAGCAGGATTTTTAAATGTTTAGGACACCTGTAGACTATGCCAACACCTCTTCCTACATGACATGGCTAATGTTTGTTTTCTTCTGTCTTGTTTCTAGAGTGAGGATGAAGCTGGCTGTAGTTCTGTTGATGAAGAGAGTTACAAAACGCTGAAACAACAGGAAGAGGTTTTCAGGAATCTAGATGCACAGTATGAAATGGCAAGATCACAGACTCACACACAAAGAGGAATGGGATTGGGATTTACATCTTCCATGCGAGGAATGGATGCAGTTTGAAAAAAAAAAAAAGTCAGTTTTAAAGTTTGGGACTGTGGAAGGTTCTTGTTCAAATGTTGGGTCCTTGTTCACCAAAAAGCTAGCATTCTAGCTTGCATGGGTGTTGCATTGACTTTAATTTATTAAAAAATACAATTTTTTTGTAAATATCAGATCAGTGATACTGGTGTTAGTGTTGTAATCAGGTTATACCCACTTCATTAAACTTGACAGAGCTATAGAAGGACAGTATTTTTTAGTTCTACTTTTCCAACCAAGCAGCAGATGGGATAAACTCATACATGGATATTTCGTGTCCACTGTCTTGTGTACTTTTGTACTTTAACCTTGTACAGTTATTTCCAATTCTTGAAACATGAAAGAAACATTGTGTAGATGTTATTTAGCGTTCTGGGCCAATAGGCACATAATCCAGTGCAAAAAAACCCTGGTTAATAATAAAGACATTTTTTTCTCTAAGGTCTTTATGTTAATTTAAGTTTTGATTTGGGTGAAGCTCTTAAGGAAAGCTAGTGAAGAGATGGCAGGAAAAGTTGAGAACTCAGAAATACTGTTTGGGTTGCTTTGCTTATTTTGAAGTAGGATTTTCCTGAACCAAGGAATCTCAGTACAGTGAGGAGTCCTGAAGTTGAGGGTGTGTTTTTCTTTTTTTTCCTGTGGTCCATTTGATACTTGGAAATTACAGAGAGAGAGGGGTAACCAAAGCAGTGATGAGAGAGCGTAGGATGTTGGAGCCCCTTGCTAATAACCTCAGTTCTTGAAAGTTCTGGGAAGCATGTTAACTTTTTCCTGAACCAAGGAATCTCAGTACAGTGAGGAGTCCTGAAGTTGAGGGTGTGTTTTTCTTTTTTTTCCTGTGGTCCATTTGATACTTGGAAATTACAGAGAGAGAGGGGTAACCAAAGCAGTGATGAGAGAGCGTAGGATGTTGGAGCCCCTTGCTAATAACCTCAGTTCTTGAAAGTTCTGGGAAGCATGTTAACTTTTTGTGGTGGGTATTGGCTTGTTTTTCAAGAACGCCTGTATCAGAGCTTATAATGCAGGAGTCTGTGTCGAGCCAGGATGCAGGTTGTGCGGTTGTGTTATACTTAAAACTACTCTTGTCCTGTACCCTGCTGGTGCTGCAGGGAAGGGGAAAAAAAAAAAAGAAAGAAAA